TCATGTGCTGTGGTTAAACAGTCTATCTGCACAAAAATCTCATTTATTTTATAATTAAAACCCCAAATAAGCACAAAATTCTTCAGTTATCAGTGTTTAATATGCTTCTTCTTGTCCCATTGCTAAAAATGGATTATACCCATCTCCTAAAAAAGCTGAAACCTCTAAACTTCAAAGTCATTTTTCTCAGAACAGCGATTTTCGAGTTAGACCGTTTTACCATCTGACGGCAGTGCAAGGTTCAGGAGTCATCAAAATCATAATACATTTTACCGAGTCTTGGTAAAGTAACAAGCACTCACATAGAAAGCTTTATATGGGACAACACACATTCGTGGTGTCGGGGCTAGTACTACCTTGATTTCCTTGTCTTTCTATGCTCATTACTCAGCCAGTATACATTTTCTTCCAAAATTGTTTGGCACATGTCATTTATTTGTAATCTTGAACATTCAGTGTAAGTTTCGTTTGATTCTGTGAGAATTAATTAATTTTTTTTTACCAGTACTGGAGTTTATCTTTAAGCTTGAATCTACGAATTTGACGGCAATTCACCAAAAAAATTCAAAAATTATACTTAGATTATTATAATAACGGTGAGTATATTATAGAATATATATTAAGATAGTTGTTATTGCAGATTGAATAAAAGATTAGATTTACAACTTAAAAACAAGCAGTAAATACATTTTTTTATTAAATGAGATGTATCAAACTAAATAATTGTATAAAAGGTAAATAAATGCATTAAGTGGTTGATTAAATGCAATAATAAAACTTTTTTTTTATGGTCAGTTTTTATTCTTTTCTCTCTTGAAACAAATTATAATCATAGTACAAATTACAATCATCATATGTAACGCTCACTGCAAATGTGATGACATTATAAATCAGTATAAATTGTTGTCTTACAAACGGCTTCAAAAGAAACTTACATAGTTAGTTTCTATACATCAAATTTGAAACAAAAATTCATATTTTCAAAGAAAACATATGCAGTTGTATAATCCAAAATTTTTGTTTTAACAATGTAGCAACTTATACTTCTTTTATACTGTTGTCCTGAGAGAATTTTTTTCTCTTTTTGTTAACCCTACCCTACCCGACCTCTCCCTTATCCCCCCCCCCCCCCCCCTCTTAACCGGTGGACGACTGGCTCTGGGTTCCAATTGTTTGTCTAATACTCAGGTTTTCCCATTTAGAAAAATGAATAGTGAGAATTCCCCTAATTGCTGCCAATTTCCTTTCTTCTACTTTATCCCCTATTATACTATTCTTTATTTCATTAAAAGAGGGTGGTTTTTTAAGTTTAATTTTTTTTTTTTTTTTTTTTTTTTTTAAGGTCAGTTTTTATTCTTTTCTCTCTTGAAACAAATTATAATCATAGTACAAATTACAATCATCATATGTAACTCTCACTGCAAATGTGATGACATTATAAATCAGTATAAATTTTTGTCTTACAAACGGCTTCAAAAGAAACTTACATAGTTAGTTCCTATACATCATATTTGAAACAAAAATTCATATTTTCAAAGAAAACATATGCAGTTGTATAATCCAATTTTTTTTTTTTTTTTAACAATGTAGCAACTTATACTTCTTTTTATACTGTTGTCCTGAGAGAAAAGTTTTCTCTTTTTGTTAACCCTACCCTACCCGACCTTTCCCTTATCCCCATCCCCCCCCCCCCTCTTAACCGGTGGACGACTGGCTCTGGGTTCCAATTGTTTGTCTAATACTCAGGTTTTCCCATTTAGAAAAATGAATAGTGAGAGTTCCCCTCATTGCTGCCAATTTCCTTTCTTCTACTTTATCCCCTATTATACTATTCTTTATTTCATTAAAAGAGGGTGATTTTTTAAGTTCTCTATTTCTATAAATCAGATATTTAACAAGAATTAAAACATGATTCATTAATTGATATTTTCCTTTATTTCTCTCCTCTTTCCCATACAGAATTTCCTCCAAACTACAGTTATGTATTTCAAAGTCTAAAAATCTCGTGCACATTTCCCACACTGATTGTGCAAATTCACAAGTATAGAATAAATGTTTATATGTTTCTTCATCTTTTTCGCAAAATGAGCATAAGTTAGTCGAGACAAGACCAAAACGGAAGAGGTGATGGTTTGTATATAATATATTATGTATAAGTTTGAACTGAAACTCTCTTAATCGACTGTTAAGTGTACACTGTCTTAGTCTTAAAAATATGTTTTCTATTTCCTTACAGGAAAAACCATAGTTCCTTCCAATTGTCTCAAAAACCAAAGGTTTAAAATCATTTTTCTTTATTAATTGTACATAAATTTGTTTTGATTTTAAATCAGCTATATTAGTTGTTTTCTTCCCCAAAGTGAAATCAGTTCCAGAATTTTTTTTTTTTTTTCTTCTCCCTTTCTAAAATTATTTTTCCAACAAACTGGTAAACAGGCATAAAAGTGCTTGATCTTTTCAATTTCATTTACTTCAACACCTAAATCGATAAAAATGCCTGTCACTTTTTAGTTTACCATCGTTTTCCAGAATATGTTTTAATTTGTAAATTCCTTTGTCATACAACCTCTTATCGTATATACAACTTCCTTTAAATAGCAGCATGAATCGATAGTAATAATGTTATCCAAATATCAATACCGCTTTTTGGCTATTTTGCCTTCTGGATAGATAAGACTGCTAATATATTCTGCATTTACATTCTGCAAATATCTGCATTATTACGCTTTTCACCAAATCAGGATGACGAACTTTTCCGTCCTCAATATCCAATATTTATAAAAGATTTGTTTGCATTAAAACACATATATAGAGGCTTTCGCTTCCGGGCCGCCTTGCGACCATAGGTTCCAAATTCGTCGACGAGATTTTGTAGAAATTATTGTTATTATTATTTTTTTTTAAATTACAACAAACCACCCATTTCAGCAAAATAAATATTATCTGCGTTCGACTGTTGATCGATTCTAGCACTACATATATTAATATCAGTGATGGGAAAGTTTGCAGGGTGTACATTATTTATAATCATCGTCATTATCATAATCACTGTTATTGTCGATGCTGTTATTATCAATAATAATAATAATAATACTTAAAAGTAATACAAAGTTTTGGGAAATTTTGAATATTGGCTCGATGAAGATTCTTTACAATTTTGAAATATTTGGATGCCCCTTGGGATGTATCATAAGCAAACAAATTTAGCCCCTAAAACAATTCTGCTTTCGAGAAAAAAAATAATATAAAAATTTGCCGGTGCTCCCGGCAAATCTGGATAATTTTCAAATAGCGCCTATATACGGCCTATATACGGCTATTCAATGATAGCTGCGACCATGAAAATCTCATAAAATGTAGTTGTGATATATAATATCCAAACGAGAATAGCCAATAATTGGTCGATTTTAGTCAAAAAACATTGTTTTATAACTATATTAATATCTTGACATTGAGAGGGAGCTATAAAACGAAAAGAGTTTATTATCTACGATTTCATCACCTTAGACTCGATTTCAACCGCGAAAATGATCACTGAATATTGTAGGATCGCATATGTTTCCGATATGTTCATTTGAACCAAATTCATGACCCCATACCAAAACTTTGTAATACCTTTAATGGAAAAGGAAAGGGCGGGGGAGGGCTGTGGGGGCACAAAATAGTGTTTGTTTGTACAGGTAGGGGTGGCACTGGTATCATCCGAAATGCAAACAAGCAGGGGCACACACTGCTCATGGAGACTTTGTGAAGGTCTCGAATATCTCTTTTTCACATTCCCTTTCCACCCCTCCCCCCTCTTTGTCTTTTACCCTTCCCTCCTCATTCTGATTGCGCCATTATTTGATGTGGTGAGGGGGGGGGGGGGGTTACGTGGCAGATTTATTACCGGCTCCACATATGTGGCAGAGTTCAACCCAGGCCGCAATCGACAATTTATAACAGCTGTTACTAATTAAGTAATATTAAATTTGATAAAATCTGATAAAGGTGATTAAAATTGGATTGCGAGACTTTACCATGACCTGATAAAGCCGATTAAAAAACTGATAGCGAACCTATGACGGATATAAATGGCGATGGTATAGGAGATTTCAGTGTTTCATTGGATTAGGTGCTTGTGTAAACAATTAGACAAGCATTCTATAGGAGTTACAACAAAAAAAAGAGACGGGCGCCCCACCCCATCCCCCCCCCCCCCCTCCGCTCTTAAGAACCATTAAAAGAAGCTGTTGAGTCAGAGATTTCTTCATTTCTATCGGAGGACAACGGATAGAAAGGTAAGTTAAGACTTCACTCTAGATATTTCAATCTGGGCCCCGTTGCACACAAATTTACCACTGATGGTAACTTTACCTTCACAATCAACTACAATATGCAACATCACTCAACAGCCAATAAATATTTATTTAAGACGATGCCGGGATATTATTGAGGATTGAGGAAATATTTACTTCAAATCGTTACTCAAGTTCGTACTTTTACACTGTAACCAAGTCGGTCGTGTGATAAAAAGACAATAGTACATTATTTGCAAATCAAGCCTTCATGTTTTTGCACGTATCTCCTTTGGAACAAACTACCTTTACATGTCAAAAACTGTCAGATTGTCAACCAATTCAAAACTTATTTTAAAACACATTTATTCAAAATTGCTTTTAATGATTAACTTAATACTCTGTTCAATTTGATGTATATTTCATATGTATTGTAATTTGTAGGTTTATTTGTAACTTTTTGTTTGATATATATTTGTTTGTCCTTGTATTTTGTTTGTTATTGCGCTTATAGACTCTGGTTAAAGCGCTTTATAAGCACCTTTTTATTATATCATTATATATTTCTCGTTCTTTACCTCTTTTTCACCTGAAGTCTTTCAAAAAAATTGCTGGGGTAGGTTTGATAGATTATCTGGAATAATTACTTTGTGACTTACGCTTAGCCATGCAGCAACTCGTCATAATAATATTCTGTCATCGTTTTTCCCTTTCAACAGGCCAGGCACCATGAAGTTTTTCGCTGCTTGCATGTTATCAGTCATCGCTACTGCCGTAGCATTGGCTCCCGTCTACCGTGTCGATGAAGCGAACGACGGCGTCAGGGGACGTTACGTCATTAAGATAAAGGTAAGAAGACCAGGGTATTTCACAAAGACTAAGATCGACTTAAGTTGGACTTGAACTATGACAGGCAATTCATGCCACTGGTTGCTCTTACCACTGGTCTCTCAAGGGCCGTCACAAATGTATAGAATTTATATTTTTGATAGTTCATTGATGAAAAAGTTACTTATATCGTAAACTTAAGTTATGTTTAAGACTTTGACTTATAGCCTACTACGGTATGCGATGTATGCCCTTAAACAAATCTTAAGCGGAATGTAAAAGTAGAGGGGAAAACCCATAGAAATTATGATAAAAACGGTAGGCCTAATTGTGACCATGATGTGTACCTCCCTTGAGATACCAATGCATATGGAGAGGTTAGAGGAACTAGTGGCATGAACGGCCTCCCATATAGTTCAATTCCAATTCAAGTCGATCTTAGTCTTTGTGAAACATTCACCTGGGCATCGTTACACGAAACCGTTTTTATTTAATTTATATGATTCATGTAGAGGTGTCTAGGTCGAGTGATTGAGTCACTTAACTGGACTATTATTATCATTCTTATTATTATCACCATTATAATCATCATCATCATCACTATTGTCACTATTATCATCATATTGAATTCCCTTTTCAAATCGTATAGGACGATGTGGATGACGTTGATGCCGTAGTCGACAAGCTGGCCGACCTCCCATCTTTCAAGCTGTTCCAGGGCAAGATCTACCGCAGGTTCTACCATGCCATCAAGGGCTTCAGCGCCAGGCTCAGCGACGAACTCGTCGAGATTGTAAGTGACTTTGAATTTTAGTCGGCGACCCGGCGAAGGCCCTCTTTCATGTCGTTGATGTTGCTGGTGTTACTGTTGTTCAAGTTGGTGCTGTTGTTGATGTTGTAGTTGTTGTAGTTGTTGTTGTTATTCTTCTTCTTATGACCAGAAACTGAGAGAATGAGACTAAGGAAAAATAGAGAGAGAGAGAGGGGGGGGGGGGGGGTTGGGGGGGGAGAGGAGAAATTGTGAAAATTGTAGAAACGAGTCAAATTATTATGTTATTTTGCCTTTCTTTTGTGTCAGTATATAACTCTATAGTTGCATTAGTGCCTTTAAGGTAGGGGGCTTGGTGAAATAAATTATAATACTGTCCCATTATAGTTGGTGCTTGTTAAACATTATTAGAGTTCGCCTAGCTGATTCTTTACCTAAAAATGCAATGTTTAAATATGAAATTGAATTCTGGTTATGGCCTTTAATACGATACATTGTGAATGATATTGTTTCGCGTTAACTTGGAATGTTTAATTATAAAGTACACAATAATTAGATTATACTGCGAGGTTTTGGAATCGTCAAAAGGATAAGCAATTGACTCATACTTGCTGGTAGTCACGCCCACCGAACACAGAAATAGGTATCTGGGATTATGCACACATGGCTCAAAAGCATCGTTCAAACTTTTCAGCAATTTCTTGTCATTTAAAAAATTGGGGCATTGCCAAGAGCTATTCTTTGTAAGGGATATTATGTTCTTTAACATTCTTTCGAATCGACGTAAATGCACTATTACCCATGACATTGCAATAATAATTTGCATTCATGGAACTCACACAATTTCGTGTAGGCTTATAAATTATAAGTATCTAAACCCTTATACTGACTCGTGGATGACATCTCAGAGCGCTTTGTATGCATTGGAAAAGGCGCTACATGAATTGCAACTCTTATTGTTCTGTTTTCTTATTCCTTGTTATGAAATGACTGTGACGATTATGGTTTATCATTCATAAATTAAATGTATATCTTGTCAGAATTTTCACTGATCAGTCTCAAAAAATCATAGAGATCGATGAATATAGTTTTGCGAAGCTATTACTCAAAATGATAATCCATTTGTCACAATTATTTCATGAAAAGAGATGAGTAAAAGATAAGAATTATTAACATTTTATGAATAACAGTGTATAGAATGAGAAACCTCAAACTATGTTTCACCTTAACTAGAACGCCACGCTCTCTTTAACCATGGGGCCTGTTTCATGAAACCTGCTGTCAATAACAAATGCAAAATGTCGACGGCAAATTTGCTCTCAGCCAATCAAATGCCACCATTTCAGTAGCTTATAACAATTATTGTAAGTTATTTTCGATAACCAGTCTTATGAAACAGGGCCCTGATGTAACGGTGGGAGAAAACGCCATCTGTTATTACCCGTCACTCCTTAGATTACGATTATGAATTGTTGACTTAATTTTGATAAGTATATTTGTTCCGTTATAATGCTATCAATCTGTTTGCATAGCAATCTATTTTCATCAAATACCTGTTGGAAACCAGGAGGATGTTTTAGTTCATATTATATCACAGGTGATGCCCTTCTGTCTCCGAACAGACTTGAACCACTGCGTCATCTGAAAATCTATGTTCACAAAATGTCTGTTAAGAGCCATAAGGGCGTTAGCTCGTTATAATTCAACGCAGGGTTAACGAACTTGTGTGGCAAGACATATACAAATCTCTCTCTCTCTCTCATTTTCACATATCGAATTGTAAATTTCTTGAACTGTGCAATACTTATACATCTTACCATAATCATCTCCTTCTCTCCCTCTCTCTCTCTCTCTCTCTTCTCTTCCATTCTTTCTTTCTTTTTCCCCGTCTCTCTCTTCCTCTCTCTGTATTATATATAAATATCTTTATCCCCCTTTTCTCTTCCATTCTTTTTTTGTCTCTCTCTCTCTCCCTCTCTCTGCATTATCTCTCTCTCTCTCTCTATTTCTCTCTATCTCTCTCTCTCTCTCTCTCTGTATGTCTGTCTTTCTGTTAGGTGAGCGGACTTGATGCTGTTGACTACATTCATCAAGAAACAATCTTCAGGAAACAGACGATTGCATCTTGGGGTATTGATAGAGTCGATCAAAGGGATCTTCCTCTTGATGATAGCTACACTACTAATGGAGGTGAGGAATCAAATTATGTTTTTGTTCTCTCTCTCTCTGTCTGTCTGTTTTTCTATCTCTCTCCATCTTGATGAGAGTCACCCACCTGATAGAGGTCAGCAAACAAGAAGGTTAATTTTTAGTTCCCTCTCTCTCTCTCTCTCTTTCTCTCTACCTCTCTCTCTCTCTCTCTCTCTCTCTCCCCCCCCCCCCTCTCACTCCTTCTCTTCCTCTCGATCGATGGAAGCTATACACACCTAATGAAGGAATTAAATTTACCAATCTTCACAAAATGTGGTCATATTATACTGCCTAGCTTTCAGTACTAAATATTTTTTTTAGGCCAACAGTTTCGACCAATCAGAGGCCTAGAATCTAGACACGTGGTATATAAAATGTGAAATTCCCATGGGAACGCACAAATATATGCCTCTAATTAATTTTTTTTCCTCGTTTATCCAGATGGCTCAGGCGTTCACGTCTACGTCATTGATACAGGGGTGAACGTGATGCACGATGACCTCGCTGGCCGTGTCGAAGTCGGATTCGATTCCCGTCTTGATGACCCCAACGACCCCCAGGTTTGTATGATAATAATCTTATAAAAGAAATGATACACATCATTTTGTTCGGGCATTAGTAAAATTACCCACACTCGGTACCTTCAAAACAGTCCAAACACCCTCGGCTACCGCCTCGGGCGTGTTGGACTGTTCCTACTAATGGCCTCACTGCTGTGTATTATTTGTATAATATCCTATTGCCCTTTAGACAAAGTATCGTATCTTATATTAGGCATATATTATATACATATGTAGCAGAATGAGCCGACATTATAATCCGTTCAAGGAATTTTTTTCTACCGGGTACCCGCTTACTTCACCTTTGTAGAAAATGTCCATCTTTAGTTCCCACATTTATCCCTTTTGATGCATTTATAGGAATTTAGTTTCCCCTCGAACTGGCAAGACTACTACTAGTTTAAACTGACTTGCTACAGTTTTCTAATAAAAGGTTATGTATCTAAAACGAAGAAGCAATAGCAGTGTTTGTCGAAGTGTTAGACAAGTTACACACGTTAGACGAAAAAGTTAGAAGTAGTGATATGGTGTAGGTGGTGGACAGGTGGTGTTAGTAGTGGTGATGGTGATGGTGGTGTTAGTAGTAGTGGTGCATGGGGGTAGTTTTAGTGATAGTAGTAGTGATATGGTGGTGGTGGTGGTAGTAGTAGTGGTGGTGCATGGTGGTAGTGGTGTTAGTAGTAGTGGTGCATGGTGGTAGTTTTAGTGGTATTAGTAGTGATATGAGGATGGTGATGGTGGTGTTAGTAGTAGTGGTGATGGTGGTGGTGGTGTTAGTAGTAGTGGTGATGGTGGTGGTGGTGTAAGTAGTTAGTAGTAGTGATGGTACTATATACTACTACTACTACTACTACTACTACTACTACTACTACGTACTATTGCTCATCATCATTATCATTAACAGCAATCCAAATATTTAAAAAAAACCGTCTGCAAAATGCCGGCACCATCAATTAATCCTTTATTTCGTCTACAGTACGGTATTGACTGCAACGGACACGGATCGCATTGCTCCGGAACGGTCGCAGGAACAACGTATGGTGTCGCTAAGGGAGCAACAATCGTCGGAGTTCGTGCCTTGAGTTGTGTGGGGTTCGGCCTTCTTACTGACATAACCGCAGGTAGGTCTTAGACACACCGCTTATTAACTCCTAACCGACGCCATGCCGACTCCAAACCGACGCAATGCCGACTCTAAACCGACGCCGTGCCGACTCTAAACCGACGCCATGCCGACTCTAAACCGACGCAATCCCAACTCCAAACCGACGCCATGCCGACTCCAAACCGACGCAATGCCGACTCCAAACCGACGCCATGCCGACTCTAAACTGACGCCATGCCGACTCTAAGCTGACGCCACACTGTTCGTCTCAAAACCAATGACAAACCTAAGCCACCGCGACTCCAAACCGACTCCACGCCGACTCTAAATTGACCGAGTCTATAGGCCAGTGGAAAGCACATACACTTTCAAACATAATACAGGCCTAACATGAACTATTCAAACAAAAATATGCTGTAATTATTGTTGCTCTTAGGTCTCATATCACAATTATCGTCATCAACAAGCAAAATCAAATTCCTGAGGTAATTAACCTGTCTTCTTCATTGCGTTCCAGCTTACGAATACGTCACAGTGAACGCTATCAAGCCCGCTGTCGCATCCATGTCGCTAGGTGGCGCCAAGAACCCCTTCGTTGACCGTGCTACACAGGGAATGATTGACTCTGGAGTCATTGTGAGCGTGGCTGCGGGTAACAGCGACACAGACGCTTGCACCTTCTCTCCCGCTAATGTACCCGAAGTGAGTATGGGGAACTTACTGAGATATGGTATCATTCTAAGTTTTAAGCCCGTCTGCTCTAGTTTGGCCGGGAAGGATTAGATCACCCCGCGTGGTCACTGACAGGTGGTTATCTCATCAAATCAGCTCTCAATTAACATAAGAAAAAGAGGATCATGGGAGATCAACGGGTACCACTTAGGCATTGTTTTCTAATCTGTGCTAATCAAACCTGTGAAATTAATAAACACAGGAGATGAAAATTCAACACAGTGTACCCTACGGTTGATTTTGCAATCACTATTTTTGTAGATGTGATCCTCCCATTGCAGGTAACAAAAGTGACCGGATACTGACGTATCCCTACGTCAGACTAGTAACGTCTCGTGTACAACGCTGACATTGGTCTGCGTCAGCAACCGGCACTTTAGTAGGGACTTTTAGATGTGCGTGGACTGATACGTGTGACGTCCATTCAAGGCAGTGCATTAAAAGGACGTCGATCGTAGCAATCCACATTGTCTTCGTGCAAATCTAAAATTCCCTTTTATTGTAAAACGCCCCCTACGTGAGAGTTACTATGATGTAGTGAGTGAAAAGGGGAAAAATTTGGTTGAACTAATGTCACATGCACTATTATAATATTACACTGTCGCTCATAAAGGTGGAATATTTTTGTTTTACCCCAATTTACGGAATTATTAAAAAAATAATTTAAAAATAACAGATCTAGATAATAGTATACATTATCAGATTTTATCGAATAATAATTTGACAATGTGTGTTTTGCGTGACTGCTGAAGCATGTGTATGCTACTATGCTTATCAAATAGGGGACCTACGCCCTTAAGTCATAAATGACAGTAATGAGGATTAATGCCCCACAAAAGGGCACTAATATAGCACATCGACACGGTTTTGATCCTGGGGCCTTACAGTTACGAGGCCATTGATTTGTCACTGAACCATGACTGTACGCAGCGGGGGCTAGGGTAGGGGGCAGTTTCCATAAATAAAAAAAAACACAGAAAATGCAATAAATTTTCAATAATTTATTGCATTTTACCCCGGTCCCCAACATAAACAAATCCTCTGGATGGCCATACATTTTGGCTCAAGGTATGGGCACACAGAGGATTTCTTTATGTTGGGAACCGGGGTAAAATGCAATAAATTATTGAAAAATTATTGCGTTTTCTTTGGTATTTTTTATTTATGGAAACTGCCCCCTACCCTAGCCCCCGCTGCATACAGTTATGGTTCAGTGACAAAGCAATGGCCTCGTAACTGTGAGGCCCCAGGATCAAAACCGTGTCGATGTGCTATATAAGTGCCCTTTTGTGGGGCATTAATCCTCATTACTGTCATTTATGACTTAAGGGCGTAGGTCCCCTAATTAATAAGCATAGAAGCATACACATGCTTTAGCAGTCACGCAAAACACACATTTGCATATTCTTATTCAATAAAATCTGAGAATGTATACTTTTATATAGATCTATTATTTTTAAATTATTTTTAAAATAATTCCGTAAATTGGGGTAAAACAAAAATATTCCACCTTTATGAGCGACAGTGTATATACATGTATAATAATTGCCTTAGTTGGTCTTTTTTGTATATTATAACACAATCGAAATAAAGCCTCGTGAAGAATTTAAATCACCTTCATTGGTGTTAGTATCAGTAATAGTAGTATCATTATTAGTAGTACATGTATTAGTATTGTTTGAATTATTATTATCATTATAATTATCATCATTGTCATATTCTGTATTATTAATTTCATTATTTGTATTACTATTAAGGATGTGTTATTTAAATTAATCTAATTTTTATCTTTTCATGTCCAACAAGATACCGTACATAATAACGAATTCAATGTGAAATGTATACAAAACATAGTTACATTTGTAATTAACAAATCTTAATAAGAATTCATAAATTTCACGAAGACAAAAAATTGAATTATAAATTTAATTGCATTTATATTTTGAGGAAATGGAGAGGTCCACTGTAAAGTAAAGCTTGTAAGTTGTGGACCCCTCAGATAATAATGAGTGTGAAAAGAGTATAGAATACAATTATCATCATCATCATCATCATAATCATCACAATTGTTGTTGCTGTTATTACTGATGCTGTTAATGTTGCTCATTTCCCTTTATGACGTAGGCCATCACGGCAGCTGCCTCAGACATAAATGACGTCAGAGCGTACTTCTCAAACTATGGGTCGTGCATAGATATCTTCGCCCCTGGCGTGGAGATCACAAGCATCTGGTACGAGGATGCGACGGCCACCTATGTAGCCAGCGGCACGTCCATGGCTTGCCCTCATGTGTCCGGTAGGTAGGGAGAGAGAGAGTGAGAGGGAGACAGAGAGAGGGGTGAGGGAGGGTGAGAGAGAGAGGGGGAGAGGGGGAGTGAGTGAGGGGAAGGGAGTGAGTGGAAGAGAGAGAGAGAGAGGGAGAAAGTGTGAGAGAAAATGTGAGAGAGAGGGAGATAGAGAGGGTGTATGTGGGTGTATGTGTGTGACAATAGAAAGAGAAAATGAATAGAATCTTACGAGCTAATATCCAAATATTTTCTCCACGTCCCGCCCCCCCCCCAAAATCCGGGAACAGAGGTACGCACATGCGTGTTCCCAAAATCTCCGGCTCGTAACAAAAGAAAAAGGTCTACCCGTATTGACTTACCCACCGGACTTATGCTGAAAAAAAAGGGGGGGGTGGTGCTGAAAAGGCTCGTATACCAAAATAAAAAGCTCTACCCGTATTGAGTTTACACACCGGACTTATGCTGAAAGTGGGGGGGGGGGGGGGTGCTGGGAACACGCATATGCGTACCCTAAATAACACTGAGTGAGGGGGGCGGCGGCTCCGCGTTTCGCATTTTCAGAATGAATGACAATTTTAATAGACCATTTTTGTAATGTAATCAAATTGAATGCTTAAATATTTGTCAAGTGCAGTATTACAAATTATTTAATTCATCTGTATGGCCATTCTTCTATCTGTAACCTTTGACATATGTAGGAGCTGCAGCCGTTGTTCTTGGCAACAACCCGACTTTCACCGTGAGTCACGTGACCGCCGCGCTCGTGAATGGCGCCACCAGAGACAAGATTACAGACCCCAAGGGCTCCCCCAACCGTCTGCTTTACGTGGACTAAAACATTCTCACCAAGGAGGGCGTCTGATTCACCATGATTGACTCAGTGATTAATTGATTGATTGATCAACTGATTGGCATCAATTTCAATATTATACTAATTATATACGATCATTCTCATTATTTTCTGTGCATTGAATGAACAATAAATTATCTTTCAAAGCAAAAGATGTGTCAGAATTATTTTTTTTTTTAAAGGACGTCTGATTTGTAATTGACTGATTGATAAATGGATTTTGTTTTGTTCTGAAGCATTCTTAAATACATTTGTTCAGTACAAATAAAAAATCATACATCTTCGTTTTAATTGATATAAATAACATGGATTGATTGATTGATTGATCGAACGACTGATTGATTTAATGACATCATTGTCACGAATAATCTTGGTGTTTAACTGATTGATTGGTTGATTGATCAATTGACTGGTTGATCAATTGATCAGCATTCATTTCTCTAATATAAGGAGGACATATCATTGGTGTTTTATTGATTCATTGATTGATGAATGATTGACTTAATGATTGAAAGATTGATTGCTGATGAATTGATAGATTGATCGCTTAAGACCGTCAATACTACTGGGCCAGAGGGGAATAGACCACACAGCGAGGTCACTGACAGGTGGCTATATCATTAACTCATCTCTCGACTAACATTAGAAAAAGAGGATCATGGGGGACCAACAGGCACCGATTGGGGAAGTTTTCTATATAGAGGGAGCAAGTAGCTACAAGTAGGACAGTGGGGCTTAACTATTCGATTTTGTATTAAATTGTTTATCCGTTCATTCAACTAGTTATGGATAAATTATTACAAATGTTTACAACTTTGAATTTGAATCGAACAAATATTGTAAACCATGCGCAATTAATCGAGGTGCATAAAATTGTTGGAAAAAACATTATTGAAAAAAATTGAGCTCAATTGAAATGATAATTCTTTCTTTTCTCTTTTTTTTTCACTCACTGACTGAATTCTTTAATTTGAGAGCCGAAATCATTGCACATTTATGGGAATAATTTGATTTATTGGTTTATTGATTTTTATATCATGTTTCTCATCTCTTTTTCGAAATTCATATTCATGTGCATTAACGTGACATTTACATTTGATACATTTTTACAATACAGCACATTACATTTTCTATGAAACGTTACAAATTTAATTACACGCCTAATGCATAACCAATAAGTAAACCATAGAAAATGTAAATAAAGAAAATTGAATTACACGCTGATGCATAAATGGCAAGAATTGAAATAGGGGAATTGCTGGTTTATCATTATGGACTGTGGGAGAACTTAATGGCAAATCACTTCTGCATACTGAATGAAGAGTAGAGGACCAATCGTCCAATCACATAGCTGAGCCAGTGGGAATGTTTCACAAAGACTGAGATCGAATTAAGTTGGACTTGAATTATGGCATGCCGTTCATGCCACTGATACTATAGTTACTCTAACCATTCCTGGCATTGGTTGGTCACAAATCTACAGAATTATTTTGATAGTTTATTATGGAAGGAAAAATAGTATCTAAAAATCATAATTTCTAAGGTTTTACCCCTCTAATTTTACATCTGGTTCAAGACTTTTTAAGGGCATGAATCGCATACCGTAGCATAGGTCCAAGTCTTCAATATAACTTAAGTTTACAACGTAAGTAACTTTTTTTTCTTTCTTTAACGTTGGCCGGAAAGTAAGCCATACATGACATTTTTCATTTGACAACAAACAATAGCGGTTCCCTATTAATTTTAGAGTCACGCCCACCCATTAGTGAGTCACGAAACAAACTATGATTTTTCAATCACCTTGGAATATCTCATTATTTTTCTAATTTCTTTCAAAGTTTTATCTTCATGTCGTTTCTCTGATAATTTCTGCTTCCGCACAATTCAACGTGGTGTTACAAAAGTTGGGTTGCCACAGTTCAAAAGTTTAAGTTTAAGGGCCACGGTAGGCCCGCCTTTACAATGCACGATGTAAAGAACAAATTAATACCATTTTATTCCTATATACAAGTTATACTGCACTTTATTGGTGTGAGGGAGAAAAAAAAATAATCGTTCGGCTTTCCCATGCATAGACAGGCATTACTGAATACCGATAATGGGCGAGATCTAATGCAAACAAAATTCCCTATTATATCCCGCCGAGTTTTTAGAAGTCTCTCTCTCTCTCTCTCTTTCCTCCCTCCGTCTCTCTCTGTCTGTCTCTCTATCTCTGTCCTCGCTGAACAAAGATGAATTACAAATGGACAAATTTCAGGGTTTTGTTGTCTGTCTATATGTCTTTCAATGGTCCACGATCTCTCTCTCCCCCTCTCTCTTTCTCTCTCGGTCACGGCTTTCAGTGGGTGGAATACAAAAGATGTCTGTTATGTATTATGTCACTGATGCGACTCGAGGAATACAAAAGACTTAGGCGTGTACAACGCGTATTAATACCTCTGGGGCCTTGTTTGCAGGTATATGGAAATCAACACAGCGCGGCGGTCTGTGTATAGTGAAAAGGTGTGTGCGTATGTATACTGTGTGCGTGTGTATACTCAAGAAGGGTGCGACTCCACTGGACTTTATAAACTAACGCCCTGTATGTTAAAGCTAGTTAAACTATTTTCACTCGTTCACATACTGCTGTTTATGTATTGGTAGCAAAACGTAATCTTTCTCGGAGAATACATCATATCTTCAAAAGGAGTCATTTCCTAAGCCGATTCATACGCTAATTTCACGGTGAGTAAAAGAAGATCGAGTATAGACTAGACTAAGAAGTATAACTTTCATGTTATTCGCGGTTTTGGGAGGAGAAACTTTGATGATTTAACTGTACAAATGATTTAACTAGCGAGAAAAAAATAATACAAGACTCGAAAACTTGAATTAACATTTTTCTTCTTAGCTCAAACGTTGACGACCGAGTAGTTCTTGTAGTGAAATTATGTTCGTAATATTGAGTATGTTGATAAGTATTACTAGTTAGGCCTTTGTATAGGTCGTTCCTGATATCTTGTAGTATCAGTTTTCTTTAAAAGATTAGTTTGTTTAGTTTTATTTTCGTTTTAATCTTGTAATTACGTTGATAACCGATTTATTGTTTGTGCGAACCATACCCAAATCAAGTATTTTATTTTATGATATGTATGCATGTTAATATTCCCATTAATTGCAATATACCTGGTTATTAATTGAGTTGAGTTGAGTTGAGTTGAGAGGGCCTGCGGTCCTGAAAAGCGTGATATAAGAACGAACTATTATTACTATTATTATAACTTGTATGCATAATTCTTGAAGAAAGTTTTTTTTTTACCCGAGGCTTGTCAGACATAGCAACATCTTAAGTTTTTAGCAGATGTTTCAGCATTTACTGATAAATCAAATGTAAAGCATTCAAATAACAATAACAGTATAAAATATGATTGATTTACATTATAAGAGTGAAAACTGAAAGCATGGAGGTAAGTAAAAGAATCCAAATAACTACAGAGACTAACTTTCATAAGCATGAATGCTTGAGTCGATAGTAGCCGGGAAAGGGGGGGGGGTGGGTGGGTACATAACGCTGTTATAGGAGTATGTAGGAGATTAAAGCCTCACGTCTAAAGATTTTGTACAGAAAGTATCTAAATAAAAAGTGGAAAGAAAGTAATGCATGGAAAGTGAATCCCATCCATTGAGATGCTAAAATGCATATCGGGTAAAGTACACAGCATACAGCATGACCACAAATATGTCTTTGTTGCGCAGAATACAGTATCCAACGCAAATAAATGGTTGGTATTCGTAAAATAATACTTGAAAGGTACCATGCATGATTAACGACTGATTCATAGAACTTATCTGGCATTGCAATAATTTGGCATAATAATATTAATTGCAATTGTATAGAATACCTACCTTCAATAATATTCTTTACAAAAATTCTTGGAATGTTGCACCAAACAAGTTTGGAAAGGTTATGTTCACTGAATTATATTATACAACTATGCGGGTATATTTTTATA